AAAAAAACTCGAGAACGATCGATAATAAAGCCAATATTATAGACAAAAAGCATCACACAGTTAACATTTGTCGATCATTATGGAAGCTTTTAAATACTCAACGCAATGAAATTTAATATATTACATCAATTGTTTTTATTATCTATTATTTTTAATTTTATTTCTTATATACATAAAGCATCAGGTTCATCAGTTTTCTCCGGTTCAAGTAAACATAAAAATCCTAAAGTGGATAAAAGTGTATCACATAAAAAGAAACAAGGTGCAAATGATGATGAACAAGATGCTGCTGATGATGATTCAAGTAAGTTGATAGTATTATATCATCAATGTAAATAAGAAAGTTTTAGCATCTCAATCAAATTCACATGAATGTCAATTACGATCAATGTTACTTGCAAGTTATGTACCTGAAGCTCGTCCAGTTGTTAATACAACAACAGTAACTGTTGTTGATGTTGGTCTTACTATAATTCAAGTGATGGATTTAGTAAGATAAAGTGTTTTTTTTTGCTATATTGTGAAAATCAAATTTAGGATGAACAAGATCAAGTCATGACAACAAATGTTCAAATTGCATTAAAATGGCAAGATGAGCATTTACGATGGACACCCAGTGATTTTAATTATCAAAATCGTACTGTTTTTTCAGCGCGTGAAATCTGGACACCTGATATTGTTCTATTTAATTCAGCTGAAGTTGCTTATTCTCAACAACGTGAACATTATTTATTAACAGTTCATTGGAATGGAACAGTTGAATGGGTTTTTCCAGATGTATTTCGATCCTATTGTGATGTTGTTATTACTTATTTTCCATTTGGTAATTATGTAAAGTTGTTAATATATATATTTATTCTTTATTTTATTTTATTAGATAAACAAAATTGTACACTTGAAATACAATCATGGTCACGACCCTCTGATGAATTATTAGTTCGTCATCAACCACAAAATGTTCATCAACGAAGTCATTATATTCGTACAGAATGGCAAATTTATGAAATTGATGTTAAAAATGCGTCAATGAAACGTTATTTATGGCTTGTATTTTATATAAATATGAAACGTAATTATCAATTTTATGTTAATCAATTGATATTTCCATTTTCAATTTTATCTTGTTTAACATTATTTGTTTTTTGGCTTCCACCTGATTCCGGTGAAAAAATTACATTAACAATAACTATTCTTCTTGCATTAACAGTTTTTCTTCAACTTATTTCGGATTATACACCCAAAGCTTCATCGAACCTTCCTATTATTGGTACGTAAAAATTTTATTAAACCATTTATTTTATTTTGTTTGTTTTTAGGTATATATTTTAATGTCAATTTGATATTGGTGCTAATATCTGTTGTTCTCACAGTTATTGTACTTAATTTTCATTATCGTGGACCGAAAAAATCTCGTGTACCTTATTGGTGTCGTCGTATAGTCATGGCAAAAATTGGTCGTTGGCTTGGTTTTAATTTTGTTAGTCGTGAACAGTTATTTTCTCGAGCATTTTCTATTAAAGCTCGTGCAAAGCATAAATCTCGTCGAGATAATATCAATGGTAATCTTAATCGTAATGCAAAAGATACAGAAATAAATTTGCCACTTCGTCCTATAACAGCAACAACAGATATTGGTACTGAAGAAGTGACTCCTCTATCAGATGAACAAAATTCTTTAACATATAATATTGAACAAATATTACTTAAAATGCAAAGACAATTTGATCCAAGTAAAATTGATGATGAACAATTAAAAATTTCTATATTACGTGAAATACTTGAATGTCAACGTTTACTTTTAACTATTCATGCAAAGAAACAAAATCTTGATTCTGAATCACTACATGATATATATGAAGAATGGAAAATTCTTGCTATTATTATTGATAGAATTTGTTTTATATTTTATCTTACTAGTATGCTTGCTGCATCTATTATTTTCTTTGTACGTGAACCAATTTTAAAACGAAATGCATAATACTTTACATTTATATCCATACTTTATTTACTTATGCATGTCTATTGTATCTGTTTTTTCTTGTTTAGGTAAAAATTTTATATAAAGAAATTATTTTTGACGTTTAGAATTATTTATAATCTACAAAAATGAACCGTCGTCTCTAATAATGCAAAAACGTATTTTGCAATCTATTGAATTCTTCGTTAGAAACAACTAATGAGTGTTACCAGTATTAGATTGTTGATTTTAATTAATTTACTCGATATTTTCACATTGTAACTGTTAAAAAATAATAGACAGTCTTACAAATATCTCGATAATAATGATAAAAAAACAGATGATACATAATCAAGAATAAAGTTTGTATCGGAAAAAAGCTATGACAATGCAAACATGAGTTGAGCATTTAGTTTATACGTATATAATATCATATATTAATATCTTTATTGCAAAATACTTATGAAAAAAATATTTACTTCAATTATCAGTAGAATAAAAAGAAACCTTCTTTTTAACCTTTATTCACCTGTCATCTCGCATGTGAATACTCTCTATTTTCTTTCAATATCTAGTAATCGCTACATCTAGTTTAAACAAATAATAATGAATCATATCATCAAGTTGTCTTTCTTCGTACTTTTTGTCACTTTGTGCAATTATATTCTCTATTTCATAGAGAAGCATACAAGTATTCTATTCATTTAATATCGATGAATTTATCAATAGTATGAACTATTCTTTAATATTGGAATAGAAAGAATAATTCATTCTATTGATAAAATAAACTTTTTCTCTATTTCTATTCTTCTATGTTATCGATGAGTATCTTTCTTTCTTATCGAATACAACGAAACTCTACTTCTTCAGACACAACAATGTAACCGTGAAGGTCCTTTCTACAATACATATCTTTTCATTATGTATTGTTTACCTTACCAGTGAGTGTTACTGCTGATACTGTGTTCACAAACAGGAACAGAGTTCCAATAGAGACACATTTTATTTTTCATCAGTTTTATATTGTTTTCCAAAAAAAAATTACAGAAAGAATTTGTAATTTCTTTTTCATGCGTTCGAGATTTTTCCTACGTTCTTCAAGAGTTGGATGCTTTGATGGTAATGATTGTTGCCCAATTTGTACAGAACGTTCATAAAATGAATGAGCTTTTGAATAGTTGCCCATATTCTCATGCACCATACCAATGTTTAAATAGGAATCACTGAAACTAGGATGATTAGATGGAAGTGATTGTTGTAGAATTGCACAATCTTCCTCATAATAAGAAAGTGCTTTTTCATAATCACCCATGTTGTAGTACATATTACCGATGTTGTTATAGGAAGTACCTAAATCAGGATGATTGGAAGAAAGTGATCGTTGCAGAATTTCCAGATTTTTCTTATGATAAGAAAGTGCTTTTGGATAATCACCCATGCTGTCATACACCAAACCGATGCTGTTATAAGAATTAGCCAAATCAGGATGATTGGAAGAAAGTGTTTTTTGTTTAATAGCAAGTGATTTTTCTAAGTATGTAAGTGCTTCTTGATGTTCTCCTTGACGATCTTTGATAATACCTAGTTGGTGATAAATAGGTACCTTGTCATTTTCATCCGTTGTTTGATCAAGTAAATCTTCATAAACTTCTTGAGCCTTGTGAGACTCACCCATTTTAATTAGCAATTGACCTTATCTGTACCATCCTTCCAATTCTGGAAAGGTCTCTTGTCTTATACGATCAGTAAGAGTACGAAGATCTTGGTCATTGTCATTGGTCAATATTAAATTCACTTCGTAAACATGATTATATCCATCTATTGGTTGAATATCTTTAATGCGAAAAACGGTATGCATAGAGAAGAGAACTTCATCTTCATCATTATGACGACTAACATCTGCAATAGAAGCAAATGGAGTTGTTGAATCCGTAAGATTAATTGATATAACAAATAGAATTATAACAAAAGCAGGATCTGTAGCATCTTGTGGTGTAAAGAAGAGAGAAACATCACGATCTTTACTTGTTGATAGAAAGTTATTAAATGAAAGAAGTCCACCTTTGGTTTTATTCATTTCGGTAAAATCTTCTTTTGAAAGAAATTGTCCACGATAAACTGTAAATGTTTCACCAGATTGCTCGCCATCAAATTGTTCTGAATGAAGTCGTTGAATATCACGATGTAGATCATTAATAAAGAAACCCATTCGAAGAATAATATCAACATCCATTAATCTTAATGCTTGATTGAGCATCGAATATAAAAAAACATTCAGAAGTATACCACCAAATAGGTCTTTGATCATGATAGTCACGTTCCAATTTTTCAATATTATGTAGATCACACTTATTTTTGATAAATGCTTCACGACAATAAGTAAGAAATTCTTTGAAATGCTTGTCTTCGAAGTTGATGGTTAATAAGATCTCTTTCAAGATCTGAGTGTACATAAAGGATGGATCTAATTGATCCGATTTCTTGTTTGATGCCAGAAAGCTGAGTGAAATGGTATCTTGCTCACATTGGTGAGCAGCTTGTTTAAGACCTTCACAGATTGATGTTATATCTGTGTAGACTCCTTTTATTTTAGACCATTCTTTCGCCCATTGTTTATGCCATTCTTGATTGTCACAAAAAATAAAAATGCTGTCTACTTGAGACATATCATGTACACGAGATACAATATGTTGTCCAAGTGAACCAGAAACAATCATACATATTTTGTTATTGGTAATTGTTTGAATAAATTCAAAACATTCTTCAGGATCTGTAAACGTGTTGATGTTGTTAACAATACGTGTCAATTGCTGGATTGTATTATCACAGTCAGCATCATTATCATTAATATTACTGTCCAACCAAATTAAAAGAACATTTTGCATTCTTTGCATGTTAATACGTCGATTTGCAATTGCATCCTTGGAAAAAGTTGATACGTGTTTAGCATCAACTTGTGTATTGATTTGAACAGATATTAATGATTTATTGTTCACCATTGTTTGTAGTAATGTAGGCTACTTCAAGAAGTAATGTCTATAAATAAATGAAAATAATATGTCATTTCGTAGTATACGGAATTTTTCTCGAGATTTTTCTTTTTATCATCATTTACATAGTTGTCTCTGTTATTAGTATTTCACTTGGTTTTTTCATATTTGTTAAATATACGTCACTGACTCAGCTGGAATCAGATTCGACCTATAAATTCTATATATTGCTCGTTTTTTCTATATTGTGTCGAAATTAGTGAGAAAATGTTTGAAAATCAGTCAGTTCTGCTATACATAGCCTTTAACCATTAGAAAGTTCATGTATCTGCCATATAGCCAAATATTTTTGAAGAATTATTGTATAATATCGACATCAGTTGTAAATAAATGATATGTTTTCGTTTTCGCTTACTAAATCGATTAACTGAAAATTCCTCAATACTACGCTAAGTAAGCTAACAGAAAAAACTAGTTTACAAAATAATCATGTACTCTTCGAAACGTTTTACTGCCGTCTTACATACTTATACATATAAATTTATACTGAATATATATATTACATTAACAGACCTAATAAAAGAAACGACATGACGAAGAAAGCCAACAAATAGAACATACTTGTAAAAACGTAGCTAACGAGGGAACATCCCCAACTGAAGGAAAGCTTTGGAGCTCGGACTCCGTGCATTAAGTAGATCTCAGCAAGGTATGAAAAACCCCAACAGGATAAGTGCCCATGGGCCCTCTGTCCCGAGTTATAGACGATATACTGAAATTTTAGCCTATGATAGGGTATATATAAATAGATCGAATGACGGTATTTCGACCTGAGATTTTGCCCATAGAGAGGTCTATGAGTAACTAGAATACCCTAAAAATTTCAGCTGAAAAGAATGTTTTCTTCTCGAGATATTAAAGTATCCAAAAATCACCCATATCCTACGAAAGATACTAGATTTTCCTATTTTTTGATATTTTAATATCTCGGGAAGGAAACATTCTTTTCAGCTGAAATTTTCAGGGTATTCTAGTTACTCATAGACCTCTCTATGGGCAAAATCTCAGGTCGAAATACCATCATTCGATCTATTTATATATGCCATGTCATAGGCTAAAATTTCAGTATATCGTCTATAACTCGGGATAGAAGGCCCATGGGCACTTATCCTGTTGGGATTTTTCATACCTCACTGGGATCTACTTAATGCACGGAGTCCGAGCTCTAAAGCTTTCCTTCAGTTGGGGATGTTCCCTCGTAAGTTGTAAACAGCAAATGAAGAATTATACACGAATAAATTATATACGCTTCCATTCATCCATTATCGCTGTCACACTTTCTCTCATCCTCTTCTACAAATACTGTTATGTATATATATATATTTGTACACGTGAGGTCGTTAAACGATATTATAACATCTTTTATTTTTATTATTCCTTTCTTGTATCTTCTCCTGTTTTCATACTGATCTTATTTCTCGTTTTTTTTTCTTCAAGTGTGAACCTACATTGGCACATAAAAATAAATAAAAGAATATTATCTGCATATAGATGAAAAAAAACCATTGAAGCCATTTCAAGATCGTCCAATTTTGAGAATAAAAAATTGAAGTTATGCAACAAGACTTCTTGCTTTTCATAATTGTATTATAATACTTCTGTTTATTTATTTTGAAAAAATCAATATGTTTGTGTTATCTTTTAGAAGTAGCTTATATTTGACTAAAATTTATTTCAGAAAACTCACATATTATCTTATGAAACATTTGCATGAAGAACTTAACTGTTTATAATTTGTAAAATATAGTTCCACATTTTGAATCATAATATAAAAAAAATGATGCGCAACAAATAACTTAACTATGTAAAATTATTATATGATATACTGATCTTTTGAATAGCAACATTCTAAATAAAACATTCTTTCCTCAAATTTCTCAAATTGGAGGATAACTCGTTGACATGTAATGATATTGTCACACAATTTTCATTTTTATATGTTACCAACTTCTTCTGCTTAGTTTAATGCAATAAAGAGAACGTAATTTATTTATGAAAGGCCATTAATTCTTTTCACTATATATAATAGTAGAATTTAAATTAATTTTTTTATCAAATTATGAATATAATCGTTGTATAAAGTATATTTGTATTTTATCGTGAGATTATGTTTATGTTGAGCTTAAAACAAGCGATATTTACGAACGATAAACATATGATGATCAGTATTTTTGAATGGTTTGAACCAAATATTAAAATAAATCATAACTTAGTTTTAGAAAACATTAGACAATGGAATTAATTTATAGTAGATATTCACACATCGTTATTTCGTTCAATATACATCGATTTATAAATCAAATCGTTTATATAATTTATTTACTTGAATTCATCTGAAATTCTAGGATTAGGGTGTGAATGTATCATATATATTATAATTACTCACACTCGCACACCGTCGTATGATTATAATTTTAGAAGAAGCAATTAAATTATATAAATCAAAACATAATTAATAAATTTTATTTATGATTGAAACTCTTTGAAAAGATACACAACTAATGTTTACCCCATAACGACCTAACTTTACTCGACCTTGAAATTTAAATATAATTTGATAATTTGTATCAAAATATTGTTTTAAGATTTTCTCTTGTGTTGTTATTACTATTTTTTATCATTAAATATTCTCTAAACATATGAAATAGTAGACATTACTTGTTCACTATCAATCAAAATTGTATAAGGTTGATGTTGTTGCGTGAATTGTGTTTCCATAATTAATGTCATATTATTAAGTAGATAAGCTCATCTTTGGTGTGTGGGTGTGAGTATATCTGCCCCTAACCTCGATCACATCGACACCCACACTCAAGATGGTTTCACTTGCAAAGTAGCATTTTATTTAAAAGATAAGAAAAATTAGTTTTTTATTTTGGGTTATCATAAGATTTTTATGCCATCATTTTAGACCAAATAATATAAAACGATTGAAGAATCACTTTTTAATTAAAAAAATATTTTCATCCTCAAAGCGTTACAAGAAAAACACACTAATATCGTTAATTGCAACCATTTGTTTCTATCATAGTGATGAATGTATATGCAAACATCCCTGTAGGTAAAATCAAATCTATTCATCGAGAGAGAGAGAGACACAGAGAATTTGTTTTTGGTTTCAGTATTGGACTATTGTTCGTTTTTCGAGTGTCCTTGTAAATATTTACTTTCGCTCCACTCTGCATTGTAAATGCAGAAATAGTTTTATCGCAATCACTACGTATATAAGTGACGTAGTATCACTATAAAAGCATAATGATACATTTATTCTAACTAATTTATCTATTCATATTCCTTCTCCAACTAACTGCAAAAAAATGAGCATCATGAAATCAGTGATTTATTTCATTTTTATCTTGGCATTCTTGACAATGTACTGCAGTGCACAATCATCGAAAGACTTTGACCAATTCATTGTTAAACGTGCTTGTGTTCCTCTTGGTGGACTTTGCGAGAGTTCAAGAGATTGTTGTGGACATGATGATCCTAATTTTGGGTATTGTCTCTTATGTCAAGCTCACGGTATTTTTATTTCTTATGGACGACGTCGGTGTGGTTGTGATTCTACTGGTAGTGTTCCTGTTGACGGCAAAACTAAGAAAATTATCGGTGATCGTTGTGATGGCCATGATGCTTCTAAGACTCGTTGTAAAACGAAGGTTGCTCCTCCTGGTCATCGTTCTTATCGTGGTAACAACTTAGGCTCATCATAAGCTTGGTATGATACATGAACATAGTATTTCGATGAGAACTCATCTGGAGAATGTCATGATATTATATTCTATCATTTGCATATTCTTCGTTGAGTTTATCATATTTAGTATTGTATAGTCTTGCATGATTTGAGTACTCTTTTTGTCTTCGTAGGATATTTGGTACAAACACAAGTCCACTCCGAAAAATCGAACATCACTATCAACTATTGCCAACATTATCGATTGGTTAGCTTCTCTCCTCCTACTAATACTCAATTATTTCACTTCTTTTTTTTTTTGTGTTTTTCGTAACTTTCAGTTCTAATAAAATATATGCACTGATAGACTTCGGAGAGGTCTGAACTGCAAAGATCTAGATCTTCTGAGAGTGTAACAGTCTCATTAGATAGCAGTATACTCTTCTGCAATGGTTTCCATCTAAGAATTAAAGAATAATAAATTCTTCTATGTTTCAATCACTAATCTAGCATGCACAGACACAACTGTCTTCTTCTTTCGTTTGAAATTTGACTGTGCTTTCCTTAGGGTGTGGGTGTGGGTGCGAGTTTATCTGCTCTTAACCTCGCTCACACCTACATCGACACCCACACTCAAAATATTCTCACTTGTAAAGTAGCATTTTATTTAAAAGATAAGAGAAACTGTGTTTTTTGGATTATCATAAGATTTTTATGCCCTCATTTTGGACCAAATAATATAAAACGATTGAAGAATCACTTATCAATTAAAAAAATATTTTCATCCTCAAAGCGTTACAAGAAAAACACACTAATATCGTTAATTGCACTATTTATTTCTATCATAGTGGTGAATGTATATGCAAACATCCCTGTAGACAAAATCAAATCTATTCATCTCAAGAGAACTTTTTTTGTTAGAGTGTTGGACTATTCTTCGTTTTTCGAGTGTTCTTTTAGATATTTGCTTTCGCTTCACTCTGCATTGTAAATGCAGGAATAGTTTCCTTTATTCATTTTTTTTCTCTATTGCAACCACTTCGTATATAAGAGACGTAGTATCACTATAAAATCATAATCATACATTTATTCTAACTGATTTATCTATTCGTATTCATTCTCCAACTAACTGCAGAAAAATGAGCAACACGAAATCAGTGATTTATTTCATTTTTATCTTGGCATTATCGACAATGTACTGCAATGCACGAGAATCGAAAGACTCCGACAAATCCGTTGTTAAACGTGCTTGTGTTCCTATTGGTGGACTTTGCGGGAGTCCAAAGGACTGTTGTGGGTATGATGATCCTAATTCTGGTTATTGTATTCTATGTCAATCTCGCGGCATTTTTATTCCTTATGGACGAAACCGTTGTATGTGTGATGCTACTGAAACTATTCCTTATGACCGCGTAACTAAGATAATTACTGGTGATCGTTGTAATGGCCATGATGCTTCTAAGACTCGTTGTAAAGTGAAGGTTTATCCTCCTGGTCATCGTTTTGCTCGTGGTAAAAAGAGATTCTAACCATAAGCTTGGTATGTTACATGACTATAGTATTGTATGATCTTGCATGATTTGAGTGCTCGTTTTGTCTTTGTAGGATATTTGGCACAAACACAAGTCCACATCGAAAAATTGAACATTACTATCAACTATTACCAACATTATCGATTAGTTAGTTTCTCTTCTCCTACCAATACTCGATTATTTTACTTCATTATCTTTTCGCAAGTTTAATTTCTAATAAAATAGATGCACTGATAGACTTCGAGAGGTCTAAGCTGCAAAGAAGATTTGAGGGTGTGTGTTGGTACTAGGTGAATACAGTATTGACATCCACACCCTCAAACAATGTTTTGTTGATTATTTAAATATTGATTTTAATTCTAAATTATTACAAACAATTCAAATTATTATTCTTAAACTAAATAGACAACAGAGAAAAGTACTGACAAAATAATCTTAGTACGTCATAAAAAATTATTTGATAAAATTTCAAAACTATTTAACATCAAAAACTTATGTATGATATTGATTATAATAAGAATCTATAGTATGCAATCGAATTTTTTGTCAACATGATCTATCAACTCAAAAATAATATTTTGAAAATATTAAATATTTCATAAAAGAAACAATCAAAGTCATTGGAAAAATTTCAGAATGCAATTTTATTCACAAATAGAATATGATGAGATTAAAGAGAATAAGAATCTATAGAATTCTTCTTTCTTACCAAATCATCATTTTACTCAATTTATCTCTTATAAAACATCTCAATCAACCATCTTGAGGGTGTGGGTGTGGTTACAATCAGATATCTACACTCACACTCTCAAGATGGTTTACGTTCAGAAATATATCTATTTTTGTTTGAGTGCAACTATATGCTTATTGTTATAGCCCCACGCTTGTCGATCCTTACCACGTGTTACATAAACATTGGTCTGATATTCTTTGACTTACGGCATAGAGAAATACTTATGAGTGTTGCTATTTAATATATCACTCGATTTGCTTATGTTACTAAACTTTATTTTTATAAGCGCTCAATCTATAGCAGTTCTCACTTGGTATAGGGTCAAATATTAGGATACCGTTCTTAGTCGATTGCTGAAAAGCAAGAGTTGAAACTAGCAGACTGAACTTGTCTTTTTTTAAGAGATAGGCCAATCTGTTTTTCGCCTGATTTACCTACACCCTTTTACAATTTTAATAAAACTAGAGATTCTAGGTCATACCTGATAAAGCATTTATTTTTCACTAGTCGCAGTAAAGTAGTCAGATAGATGTCTCTTGCTAAAGAAAAATGTATTATTCAAATATAGTCAGGCCTTCTCGCTCATCCTTTATAGTATTTCGATTAGAACAAAACGAATATGCGAAACAGAAGCTCCTCGAACTTTGTCCAGCAAAATACAGAGATAATAAAATAGAACTACAAAGAATAAATGGAGTCGAAAAAACTTATGAAGCTACGAATACTGCTAGACGTTATACGAAGAACAGTTTTTTTATTTCGTCTTTTAGATGAATTACTTTGCATCACCAAAATGTGATATTGTATCAACCATTGACATTATATCATTCGACATCATCCTGAGCTTGTACACACTATAAAAAGTCAGTTTGCTTGAATCTGTCTGCTCTGATTAACAAATCAACCGACACTGAATAACGAACAGGTAAATCGTCAGTACTGCACGTACTGTTAGACAACGGCTTCTTATTTTCCTTTCGTTGTAATGAGAGATCAGGCTATCATGCTCACATGTAAAATTTATTATATAAAGATAAGAGTACAGCAAGTATTTATAACGTTGCTGATAATATTGCTTATCTTCTGTTACTATATGAGAGTCCTAGGCAAATAAATAGTAGTTTCAAACATTAGCTCGCTTCATTTTTTGTGTCACAGTTTCTTGAGAAACATAATATGCATACCAACCAAGCGTTCATTGAGTATGAGCCTAAGGTTAATGTAATACGCAAATGGTGGCGTAACCGTCGAGCAAAGATCGTCACCTCTGTCATCAGTTTAATAATTGTTGCAGTTATCCTCGTTCTGTTATTGAAATTCGTCGCTTTTGCACCAAAGAAGTCAGACACCATCACTTCTATCACAACTTCATCGTCAACAACAACATCACTAACAATAACACCAGTACCACAAACAATAACAACAGTACCACAAACAACAACAACAGTACCACAAACAACAACAACAGTACCACAAACAACAACAACAGTA